ACAATGTCCTTTCCGTTTGCTTGTTGTAACAACTTCAAAGGATTGTAGTTGTTATATCTTCTTCTCCCACCCTCCCGGTTATTTTTTGTGTGTGAGTGAATTTATTTATTTATTTTTAGCTCCCACCAACAAGTGAGAACATGTGGTATTTCTTTTTCTCTGCCTGACTCGTTTCACTTAATATAATTCTCTCAAGGTCCATCCATGTTGTTGCAAATGGCAGTATTTCATTCTTTTTTATAGCTGAGTAGTATTCCATTGTGTAGATATACCACATTTTCCGTATCCACTCATCCGATGATGGACATTTGGGCTGGTTCCAACTCTTGGCTATTGTAAAGAGTGCTGCAATGAACATTGGAGAACAGGTATACCTTCGACTTGATGATTTCCATTCCTCTGGGTATATTCCCAGCAGTGGGATAGCTGGGTCATATGGAAGATCTATCTGCAACTGTTTGAGGAATCTCCATACCTTTTTCCATAGAGGCTGCACCATTTTGCAGTCCCACCAACAATGTATGAGAGTTCCTTTTTCTCCGCAACCTCGCCAGCATTTATCGTTCAGAGTCTTTTGGATTTTAGCCATCCTAACTGGGGTGAGATGGTAAACTGGTAGATTAACACACTTTCAAAGGAAAGGAGAATGACTCAGCTTCTTTATGCAGATCAGCGCATTCAGGATACTAACATAAATTTAGGGTCACAAACTTTGATGTTTTCAGGGGCCAAATGACATGTGTAAGGGGTGTGTGCTAGCAGGGACGAAGGCAAGCTGAGATCACCTGCCCATTCGCTGCATTTCAAGGAAGCACAGCCCCACAAACATGGGGCATCAGAAGGTTTGGAGGTTTCTGCTATGTCAAGAGAAGCCCAAAACACATTTGGATTTTTTTTTTTTTTTTAGTGTTCAATCTCCCAATATTGAAATGTTGGCAATTATTTTTCTGGAAACATGGGGTTTGGTCTGTGAGCTGTATTTGGTCTACAAGCCACCATCTGCAGGTCAATGCTGCCCACAAGAACTTCACAATTGGGAGCTAACTCAGTAACCACAATAGTTTACAATAAGAAATATAATTGTCAAGTTCATTTAAATCTTCATGTTGGCTGAACTGAGCACTATATTTGAGAGACTGAACAAATGTGAAAAGGTTGCTTGGTGATTTTACAAAGTAAACAATTGTATGATCTTAATAGGTAGTATCACTAAGTGATAATAACTTGGTATACTCATTTATTCAAACAAATATGTACTGAACGTCTCGCATGTGCCAAACACTTTTAGCCACCAGGAATACAGCTGAGTACATGGTACTTATCCCTCAAGGTGCTTACATTCTACAGGTGGCAGGTAGCAAATTAATAAGTAAATATGAAAAATAGCAGGAAATGATAGCTACCACACAGAAAATTAGAAAAGGGCAGTTTGATAGCAGGTGTCTGACTGGCTTCCCTATACTATGGGTAGATCTGAAAACTCACCCCAGAGGCTTTCAGTGTCAAATTCATCCTCTTTCCTCCTTCGGTTCCAGGTCCTGTTAAGAGGTCATTTGTGGTATGTTTTAATACATTGGGGGCTGGCCAGTTATCTCAGTTGGTTAGAGCATGGTGCTGATAACATCAAGGTCCCAGGTACGATCCCTGTACAGTCAGCCACCAAAAAAAATGAAGGCCAGTTCATTTTAAATTAGTTACATTTTAATCTTCTTGACTAGATTTTGGGGAAAAGTCGATCCCAGAGGGATTTAAGGGAACCTCTAATCTAATCAGCCACTTAATTACAACGCTTGCGTCAGTGCTGCAGATAGTTAATTCCAAAACCATTTTATGTTGATTCCTTTTAATTTCAATTTTAGAGGGTACCATTTACCAGTATGTCCCCAAATTCTGAGAATTTACCATTTGAGAATTTTTGTCATCTTTCAGGAACAAGGACTAACAACACCTTTGCAATGAAGCGTCTCTCCCATGGCCAGGGTTCTCCTACCTCAAAATGCACATCTTTGCATTAAACTCTTTCTTATGGTTTTGTACATCTGTCACTGTACGGTTAAATGGAGAAACCCTGGAATGTCAAGTCAAAAGTCTGGGTTCAAAACCAGATGTTTGGATCTGCTATGGGCCAACTTTTCGATCGGGTAGTCAGTCACTCTGCTTTAATCCTTACATAAAAGAGATAAAGTAACCTGATGTTAAATAATCAGTTATTTCTATTGTTCTGTCTTCCTGTCCCCACCTTACAAGGAAAGTAACTTTGAAATGACCAATCCTCTATTTGTTCTTTGCTTTCTTCAGCCTTTTCTGTCTATAAAACCAACCTCGGGCCGGCCTGGTGGCGCACTGGATAAGTGCGCCACTTGGGAAGCGCGGCGGCGCTCCCGCCCGAGGGTTCGGATCCCACATACAGACCGGTTCCCGCTCACTGGCTGAGTGAGGCGCGGGAGCAGCACCGAGGGTTGCGATCCCATTGCCGGTCCCCGGTCCGGTCCGGGGGCAACACTGAGGGTTGCAATCTGTTGCCGGACACGGAAAAAGACAAAAAGACAAAGAAAAAAAAAAAAAAAAAACCAACCTCTTCTGCTCAGCTCATTGGAACGCTTATTCTATTTTATGGGATGACGTGTTGCCCGATTCTAGAATCGCAATAAAGCCAATTGAGATCTTTAAATTTGTTGTAATTTTGTCCTTTGATATCAATGAGTTTTAAGAAAACAAACAGGTCATTGTAATGCTGGGAGGGAAAAAGCTGAGACAACCCAAAGCAGACCTCCTCTGGACAAGTCAGCCACTGAAGAGGAAATAAATAGAATCCGTGAAGTATATTTAAATTCTGAAAGAGAAATGCAGATTGTGTAACAGTGAAGTAACAGTCATAATAATAAACGGCTAATGTTCATTGAGCACTTACTGCGTTCCAGGCAACGGGTCAGCTCTTCAAATGGGGGGAGAGGGAAGGAAAAGTTAAGGTTATAAATAACGAGAAATTGGGGAAAAAATAATTACCACCTACACAATGTGCACTATCACCTCCAAAAGCTCTTTAAATATGTGCAGGTTTTGAGACCCTTTTCTCAGAGTCTGGTGTCCTCTGCAGCCCTTTGGGCCTCTTCCGCCTTTGCTATCTAATCTCTTCTCAGATGCGGGCAAGTCCACACCTGGCCTGTCCCCCAAGGCCTGGCCCACTGGCAGCCTTCAGAAATAGTTCTCTCCCGTGTGCCAGTATTTTATGCAGTAAGCATATGCTGCCTGTAACACTGAACTGCAGGTTAAAAATGTATCCCACCGAATTATACATCGTTTAGCTGAGCAAATAATGGAAACGCAAAAGAATACACTCAGTATATGTGGCTTAGAGTGTACCCTTTCTGAAAGCAAAAGCATTTCTTTCACTGTTTTTTTTTTTTTTTTTTTTTTGCCCCAAATAAGACTAGAAATGGATTGCTCCACTTAAGACTTCCATTAATAAACTTCTTACAATATGAAATGTCTCCAACATGTGGGGACGCTGGGGTGACAGGAGCCGCGGCCCCGGGTGCAGGAGGGGGTATGCCAACGCGGCCGTTTGCCGCAGGGCTGGTGTTATTTATACAGCGCCGGCCGGGCAAGGCTGGCGCTGGGCAGAGGAGAGGAGGGAGAGGTTTGTCTTCTTGTGGGAGAGTATAGCTGTGTGCGCGTGTGCACACGGCGTGGCAAACGGGAATTCAAGCTCTTGGGGAGGGGGTGGGGAATGCCATCACCACGTTCGTGTGTATATATAACTTGTGTTGGCGATATAGCCTTCTAGCATCGTGCTTTTACAGCATTCATTTTGGAGTTGGGGAAGAAATGGCGATTTGGAAGTGGGTGCTGCAGTCGGTCGGGGGTGACGGAACGCTGCGGGGGACCGGCGACCTGAAACTGGCAAATGTGCCTCCTTGACCCTGCTCCACGGACACAAAACCAACCTCTTCCGCGCCTCCCGAAAGCTCAGAGGGTTGTGTCCGGAGGCCGGCGACCCTCAGGCTCCGGACCAGGGTGCCGGCAGCTGGGCATCAGGGCACCTCTGAAGCGCACAGAGGTCACGGAGACCGGGCGCGCGCGGGGTGGCTGCGGAGCCGAGCCTCGAGGACGACCCTGTGAACACGCTCCCCGCGCACGCCCACTCCGCCGGGACCGGCCAGCCCGCGCCCCCCGCCCCGCCTCCTCTCCGCCCC